TAAACAAATTTGGCCCATACTAATTAAATAGTTAAATATAATAATAATTATTAATATATAATTATTATTATTAATTATATAATAATTATTAATTATTATAATAATTAAATATAATCAACATATGCTATCCATATGTTGATTATAATAGTAATTGTCAAGGTCCATCCATTCCATCTGCTTATAGGACTTAAGATAAATAGTCTTTCATACAGCAGATGTCTTCAAACAGCAGACTATTCTCTATAAAAAATAAAATAGAGAAATATTCCACTACAATGGTTTGTCAAAGCTAAGCCAATTTGATCAAAATCACAGTAAACCCAATGTCATACTGTAAGCAACAACTCTATTATTCAACTTCCTCGTTAACTCACTCCACCCAGTTTTAAATCCTATTCAGTTCAATTCAGATCTGCAGAATTCACTGCTATCCAATATGGTAATATTTATTTATTATTTTATTTATTGGTTCGATTTATATGCCGCCCTTCTCCGGAGACTCAGGGCGGCTTACAATGCATAAGCCACCAATTTAGACATTTTTAAAGGAATAAAGAAGATAGGAGTATAAATGGGTATTCTATTTTCTGATTCATATGCAGCATACTTGTAAGCCAGTTACAAAGGAGAAATGGTGAAAAAGTTACTCTTCTGTCCATCCTGTAGAGTTGTTTAATATACTTGGTTGGCTACTATTTATTTGTATAAAAATAAAGGCCAATGCTCCATTCTTCAGACATGGAAGAATGCTATTCAAGCATGCTATTAATTACTTGCTAATAAAAATCTTCAAATGCTCATCTATTGTCCTCACAGCAAAAGAGAGGAATTCAAACACATGCATTTTTCTTTACTGCAACATTCTTGTGACAATAGTCTAGGTCAGTGGTCCCCAACCTTTTTGGCACCAGGGACCAGTTTTGTGGAAGACCGTTTTTCCATGGACCAGGGGGAGGGGGATAGGAGGAGTGTGCAACCTAGATCCCTCACGTGCAGTTTACAGTAGGGTTCATCCTCCTATGAAAATCTTATGCCTGATGATTTTAGGTGGAGCTGAGGTGGTGATGCTAGCATGGGGGAGTGGCTGTAAATACAGATGAAGCTTCGCTCGCTCACCTGCCACTCACCTCCAGCTGTACAAGCCCATTCCTAACAGCCCATGGACTGGTACTGGCCTGGGGGTTGGGGAACTCCTGGTTTAGGTCATATAAAAAAACAACTTTTTTAAACCCATGTTTTTTTAAAACTATAATACTCCAGTTCAGTCAGTTCCTAACAAAAAATTACAACACCAAATAGTATTGTGTATGAAGTACCTTGAAAATTCATTATTAAAAAATCTTTAGTACATTGTGTTTTCAGTGAATGGCACAATATTTAGATCAGGAAAAACAGTCTTCAACCTTAGAGATCTGCAATCTTTAGTAAAACAATGAAAGACTTTATGATCAGCCTATAGAGTAGTATCCTACTGCAAATATAATTTGAGTTTTCTTACAAATGGGATATTCATCAATACATAATTGATCAAGCCAGAAATGTTATCCCTCTTCACATAAAGTCATGGGAAGACCACACTATATTGATACAAAGGTTTGAAAAGCTTCATATATTGTCAGGTTTGCAGTGACAGGTGACAATCACAAGTGAAAACAAAGGAAGCTCAGCCTTCCCCTAGGTACAAGTAAGGGCTTTGCAGTTTTGTTTTATGATTAAAAAAATAATAACAGTATAACACAGTTGGCCATGTCAATAACAATGCAATTAACAGGTCCAAGAATAAATAGACAGTTGGTATGTTCTTTGAAATAACGGTCAATAAAGTCAGCTATGAACATTTGACAACGATATGATGGACTTTTCTGAGATGAAAATGTCTAACTAAAATACTGCTCATTTTCATAATGGCCAGGAGTGCCATTTATTTCATGAATTCAGGTCACATTGAATTCAAAGAGAAGAAAGTATTCTAGCAAAGCATTCTGGAAGCAATCTCAGTTTTGACCTAAAATGCCCCTGCCCCTGAGTTTTAACTCTAGGCCTCCAGAGATACTAACCGCACATTCTTTTGCAGCCTAAAAAGGAGAAAGCACCCGACTCCTGTGGGCAGAAAGCCGATCACTGCCGCAATCCCAGAGGGCCTTTGATTGAAGCAACGTTCAAGTCCTTTGACTGCCAGCAATAGCATGGAATTCCAGAGTTAATGCTACCGCAGAGCTCAACCTTTTGTGTCAGAGTATTGCTGATCTCTCATCAGTGATTAATATCTATGTACTTGAATACCCAAGGACAAAAGATATGTTAAGCATAGGGCAAAAGGCTTAGCTTTGTCTTTTCTTTAGCTGGCATTGTGTTGTTGGCCAGCCCAGAAAAACACCACCTCTCCCTTTCGCTTTGGAATTCTGTTCATTTTGATTGGGGTTAATGAAGCACCCATACAAAAGGACATCATAATCAATTAAATGTAACAATGCAAAAAAAAAAAAGAAAAAAAAATCCAAGGATTATAATACATGAAAAATGGATGCATTCTGTTGCAGCCATACAATGCAAGGAGACAAGGGAACAAAAGGGCACATGATGTGTTCCTTCTCACAACAGCATGAAGAATAGACACTCCAATGAAACAATGCGACCTTATCGCCAAGAACTACTCCAACAAGGGAGTAGATAAGAACCTCCATAGAGGATCATCAGAAAATACAAATATTACATTGACACTTCAGCAACACACAGAGACACACACACAAAAGCAAGTAAATATATTTCTGTACTGTACATGAATGTGTGGAGGTTCTAATCCTTAAACACTTGAAAGTAATTACAGTCCAGGAGGACTGTGCTGTTAAAACAAACCTTAAAATTGTATTGCTACTCCAAGTATGGTCAGTATGCCTATATTTCTTTTAAAAGCAAAAAGCTGCTGTTCTGCAACTCCTTTCCCATTTTTTGAGAAAAGACTATTGTTCTCACCCTACGCCAGAAAATAAAAATCAACTTCATGGAAAATGCCACCGGCTAATGAGAACATTTTGATATTTAACCACAGATGCATATGGAAAGAATCGTGCTGATCGCAGTCATCTTGCAATCTTGTAATTCTTGCAATCTGTTTTCATGTGAATTGCAAGTTTAATCCAATCAAAGGCTGTGGCAGCAAAGACCAACATTCCCAATCATCTTAAAGGCTTTTAAATAGTTGAATGAATCCGTACATAACAGAAACTATTGGAAATATAGAGAAGGATTCATTTCAAAGCAAGCAGAACCTGAACTTCCCTACAAGTGATGTACAATTTGGCTGCTTGGAATTTTTGCTGACTAGAATTGTTTCTTGCATTTACCTCCTGTAACCGTTCATTATAAAACTTACTTTATGCTTCTTATTTTTAAATTTCTTTCTGCCCTTGTGACTTGTTTCTTGTTTTATGATTGCTTTACCCTTTTATTTGGAAAGGCAGATTTATTTATTTTTTTGTATAAACAAATTATACACATTTCCATGAGGAGAAAAAGCAGAAGAAGGAGGTAGAGACAAGAAAAAAAATATAGGAAAATTATAATTAACAAGGTTCTAACTGAAAAGGCTGGAAAAGGAAAAAGGAAAAAGAAGAATAAGATGACAACCAGTAAGGTGAATGGACTCAGTTACAACAGCAATGAATGCACCCCCCTTGGAGGAGCTGAAGGATCAGATTAGGAAGAGACCATCATCAAGGAAATTGAACTATGGAGTTGCTAAGAGTCAACAATGACTTAATGGCATATAATCAATCAATCTGACTTGGTAGTATAACAATCAAGTACAGTAATGCTTATAGAATAGAAGAATTACAATTTTTAATAAAATGGATGGCTAATGGCTTCCTATGGAAGAATAGAATAGAATAGAATAGAATAGAATAGAATAGAATAGAATAGAATAGAATAGAATAGAATAGAATAGAATAGAATAGAATAGAAAGGTTGGAAGGGACCTTGGAGGTCTTCTAATCCAACCCCCTGCTTAGACAGGAAACTCTACACCACTTCAGACCAGTGGTGGGTTGCCCCCGGTTTGAACCGGTTCTATAGAATTAGTAGTAAAACCAGCGGTAGACTCCGCCCACTGACCCTGACGTCATGAGGAAGCTTCTGTGCATGCGCGCGCAGCCCTGTTGTGAACTGGTAGTAAGGTAAGTAGAACCACCCCTGCTTCAGACAAATGGTTATCCAATATCTTCTTAAAAATTTCCAGTGTTGGAGCATTTACAACTTCTGGAGGCAAGTTGTTCCACTGATTAATTGTTCTAACTGTCAGGAAATTTCTCCTTAGTTCTAAGTTGCTTCTCTCCTTGATTAGTTTCCACCCATTGCCTCTTGTCCTTTGAGCCAGTTTTTTTTTTTAATTCCTGGAAACTGTCTGAGTTTTCTCCACAAGAGTTTGGAAGGGGTTTCCCATTGCTTCCTTCCTAGAGAGGAGAACTGGCTCAAAGTCACTCAGCTGATTTTGTGCCTAAGAACTCATAGTCTTACGGTTTCTAACCTGATGCCTTAACTACTACACCATATTGGCTCTTTACTTTAATGCACTTCAATTCTTAAATTACATGACTGACAAATACTTTCCAGCATGATCTACCCTTCATGTGACCAGATTGGGATGCAAAACCAGGACCGCACCTATCCTTCTACAACACAGAATAAAGACTGAAGAGCAGAATAGGAACAAAATCCCAACTTTGCTGAAAATGATTGCAGACTTACTGCAAATTGGCTGTTGACATGGATGGCATATCTCTCGAAATTGGGAGAATATCCCGAGGGGTAGAGGAAAGTAAATAATCCAATCAGCTCAATAAGCAACAAATCACTCATCTCCCACCAGCTGTTTCTGTGTTTGGGAGATGGACTTGAAGCCTTCCTTAGAAGATCATTTCACACCAAGGCTTTTGTAGGCTTAACCCTGATTACTTTAGGCTTACAAGTACATTTGCAAACATTTACCAAAGTAAACTTACCTGAGCGATCAAAAGTATCATCAAATGCAATCCGCAATGTTTTCCCAGTGTTTCTTATGTTCTTAGCTGCACCTGGATCATAGCCAGTAAACCAAGGCAAAAGAGCAGGGTCTTTGAAGACATCTTTGCTAAGGATTGCAACAGGTGACTGATTGTTCCCTTTGGCTATTGGGTAAGATGTATGCCAGCTATCAGGTCCTGGGAGGAAAACATGCCAAGGCAAAGGTGTGTCATATTCTGTACCATATGGCAGCCATTCCCAACAAGTTGCCCTTCAGCTATTTTGGTATCCTAACCCCACATGGCTATATTGCCTGTTCCAACACCTGAAGGACATGAAACGTGAAAAGTCAAATGAACAATGTTAAGCACTACCTGATCACAGGATGATTTAGTCTTTTTAAATTACTTTTTAAAGTTTTAAATCTTGGAGGCAAAATTGTTGCCTCCAAGAGGCATTGTTACTGTTACAGTTTCAACCACCCTTTCTATTCCTTATTAGAAAACAAGAAATTAAAACTAGATTTGAATTTAAAACATAGCCCGCAGTCCTGCATAATCTAATAGGAACTCTCACCAAATACAATGAGGTTACCTTCATATATAAACTCATGTAGAAAAAAATTAAAAAGCATGCAGTGCTATCGATAATTTTCACACTATATAAACTTTTGCTAATTAGAAGCAAAATGGATGAAGTTGCTAAATATATTCCACCAACTTTCTGCTGTAGGAAAACTTTCATTTATTTAAACTTCAAAGAAAATTGTTAAGGCTGTATGATCCTCATAGGAATGACAGATAATAAGGATTCTGCTTAGATTTCTTCATCAAGCCCATTTTTTAGAGTGAAGTAAAAAAAAATCTATTTGGAAATCAGTTCTGCATGTATGCAACATAAAGTTCCAATGTGAATCCCTGGAAACCTTAACACAACAATCTTTTGCATGTCTACTATAAATAGGCCATATTAAAGTCAAAGGGGCTTTTATCCAAGTGCATTTCAAATTACCTATTTAGAACAGGTAGGATAGCAAAACTATATATTTCTAAGAAGTGGTAGCGTTACTATAGCACCACTTAATTGTAGGCAGAGGCACAGTGTTATACAAAACTGTCAGTCATGTTTTTTATTGTTATATATCTCTAGCCTGGGATCTAAGTGAAAAACATTCTGGGATGTCATTCTGAGTGCGCAAACTAATTCCACCTCCTCCCATGGGGTAACCTTCAGAGATTTTTTCCTGCTGATTGAGAATGACCAGAGTGCTACTAGAGTAGAGAAAGGTGTTGTATATTCACTTTCAGTGAAGACTTATTATTAGGCAGGGAATGATTAACTGGAGAGAACAGGCATTCTGGCATGGAAGATTTTCTGCCTCTTTTTTAGTTTTAACATACTGACATCTCTTACCTACCTAAAGCCACTTGCAAGCCCTTCTCTCAAGAACAATGTTATAGCAAGGAAGAAAACCTGATCTCACCCATCAGGCAGTTATCATAACAGGCCGCCCGAAAGCCTTTTCTATTTGAACTGCATATATTGAATTGTAGACTCATGAGCAAAAAAAAAAAATCCCCTTGAATTTCTCCTATTTTTCTTTCTTTTTCTTTCTCTTCCAGTTTTACTGCATTATTATAAAACATAAATAAAATTATTTGAGTCCATGGAAATTTATATAATATTTACTGGAGATTATTCATACTCTCATATTTAGATAATTTAAACTTTTTTAAAAATAAAGCTGTTTATATCAGTATTAATTATCATTTCTAAAATGCCAAAACTGATACCGATACTGTCATAAAGTTGTTTAAATTAAAGCTGAACATCATATTAAGAACAAATGCAAAGTACACAAAACTATTTGTTATACATAGTATAATGTATGGTATGTATGTATGTATGTTTCTTATACATAGCAATAAGTATTACGCTTCAATCTTAAGGTTAATACTTAAATACTACAGTTTCCACTGTGTTGTTACATAAGATTATTTGAGCAAGACTGTTTTTTTCAGTACTATTCAGATTTTGAAATGTTAAAGCACTCTACGTTATTCTCATTAATTTACACTAATCATTGTTAGTATAGAATGTTTTTCACATTTCAGGCATATTATTATTAATAGTATTATTCTACTAACAAAAAGAATAAAAGCAACAGTAGTGGGATATACGCCCTTATTTGCACATGCACACAATAGAGATAGGCAAGTTGAACCCTCCAGATATTTTAGCCTTTAAACTGCCATCAGTCTCCGCCTGCAAGGGCAATAGCAGGGAGCCATGGAAATCATAATCCAACATGTTTGCAACCATTTGGTGAAAAAAATGGTGTGTCACACTATATAGTTTTAAAAAGGGCAGAGGCCATTCATTAAAAAATATGATCTGCTCTTAGATTTCAGACCTTTAACAGAAATTACAGCCTTTTTTTCCCCCTGAAGACTCTTCTTCCACAGGGAAGGAGTCAGAAAATCAAGATGGAAGCCATATCACACGATCAAAAGCCCATCTTTTTTTACATGGGTCATGATGCACATACAAAAGAGGGAAAGATTTGATTGCATGTTTATGGTCACTATCTTGTCTTTTTCAAGACACACGCATGTGTGCACCCCAGATACCCTGTCTGGAAAGTATCACATTGCTATAGTGAATCTACTGCTATAGGATACAGCAGTTGAATGACAGGAAATCTCCAGTCAAGCACTAGAAGAAAGCTGTGATAAACACATGCATCTTTTAAGAAGCTAGAGTGTTCTGTGCTTTAAATAAATAAATAAAAATAAATAAATAAATAAAAATAAAAGTTCAGCCAAGAAAGGCAAGTATTTTTATAGTGCATGCAAAAAGGGGCTATTTCAGTCTTTGGCATCCTCAGCTACTTATTTATTTCTTATTTCTTATTCATATTTCTATGCTGCCCACTCTCCGAGGACCCTGGGCGGCTTACACCAAAGACAGTATACTAAATAGAGCCTTGATAGTACAGTGGTCTACGCACCCTGTTATTAACACAGCTGACTGCAATTTACTGCTGGTTCGAATCTCTCCAAGGCTCAAGGTTGACTCAGCCTTCCATCCTTTCTAAGGTAGGTGAAATGAGGACCCAGTTTGTGGGGGAAATAAGCTGACTTTGTATAAATATACAAAAGGATGAAGGCTATTGCTTAACGCATTGTAAGCCGCCCTGAGTCTCTGGAGAAGGGCGGCATATAAATCAAATTTTTTAAAAAAATAGCATATTGCCCCCAACAATCTGGGTTCTCATTTTACACACCTCGGAAGGATGGAAGGCTGAGTCAACCTTGAGCCGGTGAGATTTGATCCGCTGATCTGCTGAACTAGCAGTCAGCTGAAGTAGCTGCAGTACTGTACCCTAACCACTGCACCACCTCAGCTCATTACTAACAAGAATGGCTCAATGAACAATAACAGTCTTCCATCAAAGATCCAGAAAAGTCCAAAATTCAATCCTGAGATAGATAAGCAAACAATCTGGTTAATTTGGCTTCCCAAATATATTCAACCTACGAAAGAACCTCTTGGCCTTGCAAGTTGCTGTCAAGTTATCACTCCAAGCAACATTTCTTAAACATCCTTCACTGCAACCCTCCAGATGCATCGAACAAGAACAAGAAGTCCAATAAACCTACAGCCAGGTTTTCAGTGGGGATGATAGGAGTTGTGGTCCATCGTACCTGCAGTGCACCCCAAAAAAGGAAAGCCTGATGGGGAGGGGAGGGGGGGGAAGTGCCTTTGAGAACTTACGCCCTATTTGATAGCATCAAAAAGTGTGGAGTGACCAGGTAAGGCGGCCACTCGGAGAGACATGAATCCCACGCCTGGGATTTTGGAAAAACGCTCCTTCCTCGGTTGGGTTGAATGCTGTGGCGGACCACGGAGCTGCGAGCGAGACTCCTGCCCTAGAGAGCCTCGCTCCGTTGGGGTGTGTGTGCATTTCGAGGGGGCGGGGCAGGATGGGGACTTCTTCCCACTCACCGTTTTCCTTGCTGTAGCCCCAGGTCAGGGCCTCGCCGGTGGACTGCTTGCGCATCGTTCTCTCGCGCGGGCTTTAGCACCGCTGGCCGCGAACTTCTGACGCCCGAGCCATTTATAGGGCTCAGCGGACTCCAGCCTTGGGACAGCCTGGCGTCGAGGGCGGAGGAGCGCAAAGATCATTTACAGTCGGAGGCCGGAGGGGGGAGCTTCGCACCAGCGCGGGTTTCCCCGAAACTTGGCTCGTTCGTTCAGCTGGACCGGTCGGCGGCAAGAAAAACGATCTCTCTGTATCTTCCTTATGATCCGGCTTGGGGGTTGATGGTTGTCAGATAGTGGTTCCCCATACTTTCCATATTCGGTGTCAGAATTAGTTGACGTTTGCACATTGATGAAAGGATTCTTCCTTCCTTCTTTCCTTCCTTCCTTCCTTTTTTTTTTTTTTAAATTTGATTTATATGCCGCCCTTCTCCGGAGACTCAGGGCGGCTTACAATGCTAAGCAATAGCCTTCATCCTTTTTTGTATATTTTTATACAAAGTCAGCTTATTGCCCCCACAACTGGGTCCTTCCTCCCTTTTATTTATTTATTTTATTTATTTATTTCGTCAGGCATGTATTTTATGTCAGATAAAAGTGTAAACATAATTTTAAATACATGAGATAGATACAAATAAAAGGGAACATTAAGACAGGACTGTAGGCACGCTGGTGCGCTTATGCACGCCCCTTACAGACCTCTTAGGAATGGGGTGAGGTCTACAGTAGACAGTCTATAAGGTTAAAGTTTTGGGGATTTGGGGAAGAAACCACAAGAGGCAGGTAATGCATTCCAGGCGTTGACAGCTCTGTTACTGAAGTCGTATTTTCTGCAGTCTAGTTTGAATCGGTTTGCCATGAGCAGGGCCGGATTTAGATGAAAAGAGACCCTAGGCTATTCCACTTATGAGGCCCTTTCACCTATAGTGAAAGTGTAATTTTAATTTTGCTAACAATTTGAATGTAGGCCCCTCTTGATCTTGAGGCCCTAGGCTGAAGCCTAGTTAGCCTATAGGAAAATCCAGCCCTGGCCATGAGTTTGTATCTATTGTGTGTTCTTGTATTGTTTTGGTTGAAGCTAAGTATTCATTGGCTGGTAGGACATTGTAGCAGATGATTTTATGTACTATGCTTAGGTCGGACTAAAGACAGCAAAGTTCTAAGTTGTCTAAGCCCAAAATTTCAAGTCTCCTCTCCCCTCCCCTCCTTCATCATACATGTGTTAGTGAAGACAAAATTTTGTAGCTAATACACCTGATGAAGTTGATTTTATTTCAAGAGACTAACTCTACAACCTCTCTGGAAACAAAATTAATATTGGGATTGGTGACAAATAATTCCTACTATGAACCGTACAGTTTGCTTATTTCAAATATGAAATTATACCTTCATGAAATATCTCTAGCACAGCTAGTGCTAGATATTTATAAAATCTATGTGAAACACAAACTGAGAGCAGAACGTATTGCAAGATAAAAAGATTGTTGTAATGATGATATCGCCTCATAAACATTATTGAAATACAAAGAAACCAAACAAGACTTGATGTATAGCATTAATATTAGTTTATCACTTTTTCAGCTTTTGATTAATTCACGAACACATTTCAGAGAGTCAGTTGGGTATAATGGCTAAGACATCAAGCTAAAGACCAAGATACTGTGAGTTTGAGTCCTGAGGCCTTAAGCACAAAGCCAGCAGGGTGACCTTTGGCCAGTCACTCTTTCTCAGCCCTCGGAAGAAGGCAATGGCAAGCCACTTTAAAAATTTGCTAAGAATATCTCAGCAGGGATTTTTCCAGGCAGTCACCTGAAGTCAAGACTAATATGAAATCTAAGTTTGTCCATTCTGTACATATATATATTTCTGAGCTCATTTGAATGAATTTAGCTACTTTGTAGGCTAAAGCAGATCAGTCCTTATAGTGTAAGCTAAAATGTTGCAGGTCAGTTATGCACCCTTGTTTTAAAAATAATGACGACAATAAGCAACACAGCAGTGCAATGAAACAGAGAAAGAGGTCAAGTGAGAATTGACTTCAATTCTGTACTTGGATAAGAGATGCCTGTCAAGCAGGCATTCATCTGGATACAAATACTCTACTCACTTGCCTTTAACAGCAGCACAAACTTTTCCAGGCATTTTTTTTCTCCTATGACCAGTGGTAGGTTGCCCCGGTTCAGACCGGTTCGCAAGAACCTGTAGTTAAACCGGTGGGAGGCCTCGCCCACCACCCCGGATGTCATCATCATTGATCTGCACATGCGCAGAAGTGATCCCGTTGCGAACCGGTAGTGAAGGTAAGTAGAACCCACCCCTGCCTATGACCCCTTGATATTGCCCTTATCTCTTCCAGAGCCCTTGAGTGATTGAGACAGGATTAGGTCATGCTTAGTTCAGTGGTGAAATGTAAAATTTGTTACTACCGGTTCTGTAGGCATGGCTTGGTGGTGGGGGGGAGGGGGGTAATGTGACTGGGTGGGCATGGCCAACTTTTTAGAAAACTTTTTAAAGCATTTTTTTACAACCTATTCAGGTGAATAGGTTGTAAAAAATGCTTTTAAAAGGTAAAAAAAAGGCTCTGATGATCATAGCTGTAGTGCACGATCGTCAGAGCCTTTTTTTAAACTTTTAAAAGCATTTTTTTACAACCTATTCACCTGAATAGGTTGTAAAAAAATGATTTTAAAAGTTTAAAAAAAGGCTCTGACGATCACAGTTGTGGTGCGTGATTGTCAGAGAATTTTTTAACCTTTTAAAAGCATTAAGTAACGACACCTGGGTGGGTGGGCGGAGCCTTGAACTGCCATCGCTACCAGTTCTCCGAACCACCTGCCACAATCGTTAACGGATCGCCTGAACCTGTCCAAACCGGGAGCTTTTTTTTTTTTAATTTGATTTATATGCCGCCCTTCTCCCTTCTCCAGGGTGGCTTACAATGCGTTAAGCAATAGCCTTCATACTTTTGTATATTTATACAAAGTCAGCTTATTGCCCCCACAAACTGGGTCCTCAATTTACCTACCTTAGAAAGGATGGAAGGCTGAGTCAACCTTGAGCCTGGCAAGATTCGAACTTGCAGTAATTGCAGGCAGCTGAATGTTAATAACAGGCTATTAGTCTGCTGCGCCACCTGGCTTAGTTGTACCTCTGTTAAAGTAGTTTTTCCCTCTGTAACAGGACACCATTCCAGAACACCCTTAAGGTATAAAAAAAAATCTATTAGGCTTTGTCACCTGCTACCTTGGAGGGAAGGCAAATGACCCACAGTGACTGGAAACAGATGCAATAAAAGTAACATAGCAGCTACCAGTAAGAGGACAGGAAAGTTCAGAGTGATGGTTTTCTCATTCAAGAAGGTATGGATAGCAATTTAACTCAACTGCCTTATGTTCTACTCCAGTCTCATAAATGTACAGTTCCAAACTATGTATTTTATATATCGGTAAATGTAAATTTCATTTTAATTGTCTTGGTCTCAAGAAAAAAAATCCGACATCCATATCAATCAGTATCTTCAGGCTTTTTTATTCCTTTTTAGCACATTGATTTAGTTTTCATATAATGCTGTAAGACAGAGTGAAAAAAGGATATTTTAACAATCTTCTCTTCAAATGAATAATCCTTTTTGTTGCAATTCCAAACAGATTTACATATGAATAAGAACAGGGGGACAAATGTGTGCTCCATATCACAATTGTATGGCACATAATTCTGTCTTGACATCAACAATCTACAGTAAGCTTGTCTTTGCCATGGGCATCTATGAGGACAGCAGGCAAGTGACAAAATAAGTATGACAACATAAGCAAACCGATGCCTCTGCTTACACCCTTGTGTCAGATGTTGAGACACAAGAGAAATATTTGCATAATGAGATCATTACTCATTTATTGCATTTTGGTATCATTGGGGTTTGCTGTGAATGCTGCTGCTCTTGACCTTGTAATCTTTGGAAATTGTTGATTGAGAGTCATTGCCAATGAGAGGTAATAGGACTTATGGAAACAAACTTTCACATGGGAGACAAACTTGGCATGGAATTCTCTTTCTAAAAAGCATCCTTGGGCACAGGTCTGTTTAATCTCTTTTTCTTTCCTCCAACCTGTGATTTGGCACAGTTAATACTTTTAATATTCTTGGAAAAATTGATCCATTTAGTGCAATGTTTTCTTGTAGTTACCCTTAATGAACAATTAATTTCCTTTTTTTAAAAAAAAAAATCAATTTTGTTCTTTTTAGAGTTTAAGCAAAAAGTTTTTTGATTGAGTGAAGCTGTTTACTGGCTGCAGTTTGCAGCTGAAAAATAAGACCCTAAAATAGGTTGCAGGGAAATGTGTGAATCTACATCAGGTGGAGCTAAACACAGCACTTAGAGTGACTCTAGAAGGGAAAGAGGTGAGAAAAATCTCTGCTGGAATCTAACCTCTGCCCTCTTTCCTCACTTTACCTGGCTAAATAATTCCATCAGGGTCAAAAAATACACTCCGTAGAACTTTTGAGTAATAATTTTAAAAAAGCATTTGCTATGCAAAATATCCTTTTCCGTTGTAAATAGTAATTGATTATAGTTGGTTAGTTAGGATTTGCTTTTTTTTGAAGTTAAGGCAACGCTTCACATGATCATTTACTTTTTCCACTCCCTAATCAAAACAATTGTGTCTATATTAGTTTTCCCCTGTCTGGAATGTCATCTGATGTCATGGTGCAAATTGACAAGAGTTCTATGATTGCAGTGCAAAATGACTCAAGCCATCACCAATGAAATGACACTGACACCTTTTGTCCCATCCAGCCCGGCCCTCTTTTGATTAGCAACAGCAGCAGCAACAGCTTGTTAAACACTTTCCTGTTTTATTCAGAGCGCCAAATGATATTCCCCAAATTGTTCTCCTGTTCTTGATGACAGCTGTCTTTTTCATTTGTCTTGTGGTAGTGGGAGACAAAGGGGGACAGGCAATAGAGAGGTAGCTTGGAGCGTGGAAAGATAAGCATGGTAAAGTCAGCTACATGAGAAACATGATTAACTGCCCAGACCTTTGGGGGAAAAGTCCTCTTTGATTTATCAAGGTTTACTCACCGGAGAATACAGTTAGGCTTAAACTCACCAAAGAT